AGCTCGCTTAAATCACGGACTTCTTCCTAAAACTTGGGAGCTGATTGGCCGATTGCGGCACACAGGGATTTGCGCCACGGAGGGATGGACGTTAGTTAGTTATTAGTCGACTGCCCCGCGTGCGGCCAAGCTAGCCACGGACCAATCGGGCCCGGTTCCTAGCCATCGGTACTTGTCTTGACCATAGACACCCTACATGCCCACAGCACATGGCATGTACACTCTTGTATCCTACGCATACTGTACGCACATCCAGCTGCGGCTTCCCTTCCCATTTGCTCTCAGCTCTGCACACAAGGCCCGCTGCACACGGCCTTCGGGATTGATGCAGGGCGCCAGTCATGGCACCCTACACCTACATGGCCGGTGTGCATGCACAGCTGTAGTCGCAGAGCCGGCGCATAGCGTTGCGGCCAAATTCCGCCCAACAATCCCAAAAGAAACACAACCCGAGCGGCTGGCATACTTGGGTGTGTACGTGTAGAGTAGTGTATGCGTAGGTGCACTTGATTGCCGGCCCGTACCATTCGGAAGTCCGTATCTAGTGCTAGTATCAATTCCACCGGATACCGACTTGGTCCTACGGGTCGAGCCTGCCATTTGCATCCTTGACCGTGGCAATTACGTCACCGCCAGCCCTACCCTAAAGCGACGACCATCTTCCCCTTCAACTTTGCCCATTTCCATGTCTGCTTTTTTTCACATCCAACACTCCTAGACATTGCGAGTACCTACCCTCTCATCTTCGCCATGCCTGCCAAACCGAGTCACGCCAGTGCATCGCAAACACCTTGGCTTCCACATCCCGCATCATCCGTGCCTTGAAATCTTGAAATGCTAAGCACTTCTTCTCTGCAGTTCCGCCTGATGAAGATCGATAGAGCCCATGTACATGCTGCACAAGAACGCTGCATCAAAGTGATACAGACCCTTCACCTGAACGGTGAGCGCTCGTAAAGGCAAAGCCGAGGTCTCGTCTCGACGCACACGTCAGAGTCGGCCGAATCAAGTTCAACATTCGCGTGTTACCTTACCCCCCCTCTTGATGCAGCCGGATCCGCACCACTCTTGTTATCTGAGAGTGAGTGCCAATGTTCGCCACTATATATCCACATAGGGGCCCATAGCCAAACCTGACCCATCATCTTCATGCTCTACAGCCATGGCGGCAGCACTGCAAAACTTGATCAACCTTGTTGCGACATCTGCCACGCGCGTTGCGCTCAATCCCATCGTGACCACCGCTCTTTTATGGATACTAACAAAGGGCCCTCTGCAACTCCGTCGCCAGCTTGCCAATAGGGTCCCGGCTCTTCGAGATCCAACACAATATGCGCAGATCCTCAAGGCATTGAAAGTGTGTCTTGCGTTAGGAACAGCAGGGGTTCTGAACAAACAACTGAACCGCCTAGCTCTAAATGCTGGAAGACTCCGAAGTGACAAGGCAAGATGGAACTGGAATCGCGAGGTTGCTGTCGTTACTGGAGGATGCTCTGGAATCGGGGAGCTTGTGGTTAAGAAATTGATCAGCAAGGATATACGCGTGGCTATCCTGGACATCCGCCAACTACCCCCAAGTCTGCAGAGCGGTAAGTCTTACCCTTGCACTACCACGTATCTCACATGCTAATCGTACTAGTTGCAAACGTCACATTCTTTGCTTGCGACATTACAAATCCAAATGCCGTCTACTCGACTGCAGAAAAAATCAAAGCAACTCTAGGCGCGCCTACGATTCTGGTTAATAACGCAGGCATTTTCGTGCCCCATACCATCTTGAACACCTCTGATGATCATCTCCGGAGGATCTTCGATGTCAATGTACTCAGCAACTGGTATACTACCAAGGCGTTCCTACCTGATATGCTCCAGCATAACAAGGGCCACATTGTGACAGTTGCGAGTGCGGCGAGCTTTGTCGGCATCGCCGGTATGGCCGATTACACAGCGACCAAGGCAGCGATTTTAAGCTTCCACGAATGTTCGTCATTCGTCCTTGTTCTTCTATACTACAAAAAACTGACTTGTGGGTAGCGCTCAACCAAGAACTCAGGCATCAGTACAATAGCCCGAATGTGCTTACCACATCCATTCACCCCAATTGGGTGCGCACGCCTCTGATTGCATCCGTCGAGGACGAGCTCAAGAAGCGCGGCGCCTCTATAATCGAGCCGACTGTTGTTGCAGATTCAATCGTCAAGAGCATCACGAGCTGTAGTGGTGGACAGGTCATGTTGCCAAGTGATATAAGTAAAATAACTTACGTCAGAGGGTTGCCGAATTGGCTACAAGAGAGCCTCAGGGATAGTGTTAGCAAGTTGATTAACAATGGCCTGCAGTAATCAAGGGTATTATATATGTTCCAGCGGGGGCGTTTTGCACACACACACTATGCATGGGTCGGTAGGGTATGATACGACCGCCATAGTTACCACTCTAGGGACAAGACATGTAGCTTTCGGCGGCACTCGTGCGGCGAGACCCTTGTGCGGTGACACGGACACGACTTGCCGATACTGGGATGCCGCTTTCAGTAGGTTTGAGGGAAAAGCGTCGAATACTGCATGCAACGTGCCGTGTACGCATGAGGTGTGTGTGGGTGCTTGCCCTACTTCTGCCGTGCTGCGGTACCATTCACACGCCTACTCCTTAGTGGCTCGGTGGATCGCGCAACAAAACACCGAGACAGACGCGTCGCGTTCTCCGCCCACAAGTCACTTTTGCTTCCACATTGAGCCAACAAAGTCTCAACCGCCATTTCCCAGTCGCATTGATTTACCGCCATGGCAGAGGCACAGGATGACGTCCACATGGACACGCAAGACCTTGAGGACCAGACGCCCCCCTCGGACGTTTTCATGGCACCGTCAATTTCCAAGCCGCAGCTTTTGGGTGGCCGGTCTTACTCACACTTCTCACCCATCCCCAAGCAAATTGCAGATGACATGGCACGAGAGGTTGTCTTGGGTGTCGACGAAGCAGGAAGAGGCCCCGTATTAGGTACCGCTACTACTCCGCTCGTCTAAGATGATGACTGTAACTAACACAATCTAGGCCCTATGGTATACGCCCTCTTCTACTTACCAATCGAACTGCACCACTCCCTCCTCGCTGAAACCCACCACTTTGATGACTCCAAGGTCCTCAAGGCCGATGTCCGGTCCGATCTCATGCGCACGCTCTGCACCCAAGGCACCGATCTCTACGAAGCCGGCGGGTGGGCAACGCGGCTGCTGTCTGCGCAAGATATCTCTGCGCACATGCTGCAGCCATCCGTGTACAACTTGAACGCCCAAGCTATGGATGCGACCATTGATTTGATCAAAGAGGTCCTCGCCAAGGGGGTCAACGTCAAGGAGATATACATTGATACAATTGGCAAGCCCGAAATCTACCAGAAGAAGTTGGAGAGAATATGGCCAACTATTAGCATCACAGTCGCAAAGAAAGCCGACAGTCTGTATCCAGTCGTGAGCGCAGCCTCGGTCTGCGCCAAGGTTACGCGCGACGCTGCACTAGACGTGTGCTACGAGCCCTACCATAGCCGCACCGATCCGGAAGCCGAAGATGGGGCACAAGTTCAAGTCGCATGGGGATCAGGGTATCCATCTGACGCGCGCACCTCAGCATGGATGAAGCAGAACATGGATCCCCTCTTTGGCTGGGGTAACGAGACTCGCTTTTCCTGGGGCACAGCCAAGGAAATGCTCGAGGGGAAAAAGGCCGACGTCAGCATCGACTGGCCGGCGGAAGATGATGGCAACGACATGCGGATGACGGACTTCTTCAACGGAAAAAACGAGGCAATCGGTGATGAACTTGTAGACTGGTTTGGAAAGCGGGTGACGGAAGAGATGGAAGTGTTTTGATTGCCTTGAGCTAACGCAAGGCATCCTTGCGCAGACACCATTGCTAGCGAAAGCCGGCGAAGCACACGACACTTGTTGAACACGACCATGGAAATTTCTTTCTCGGACACATCTTGACTCGGTGCGTAAGGCTGGTCTACACCTATCGTCTGGGTAGAATACCCGGGCGTCTTGGTCGGTCCGTTGGGAGATTTGCACAGGCCACCAACAAGATGGGTTGTCCAACGTCACATGCTCACATGCCCATCGTCAGAACCAGTCAACCCACGATGACGAGTCCAAGCGCAGCCCGCGCCCTTGAAGTAAAGCCGCATTTGCTGACAAGGGAGGCCCTTTGTGGCGCTTATGTCAACAATCCGATGTGAGCCAAACCAAATAGTGCGCCTGAGCACACACCCCTTGTTGGGACCATTTCCGTATCTGCATGTGCTTTATGTCTATGCGTCTCATTCTGCACAGAGTCCAGGCGTGCATGTACAAGTGTTGACGCTGGCTTTATAGCAGCCACTGGACCGGATGCAGTAAAAACCTAGTCATACATAAACGCTCTTCACTCCACGTTTGGGTCTCATAACGTCGCTACGAATAAATAAGAGGCAGCCGCCATTTTCGCACCTTCCCCCCTACCTTGCACAAAACCTAGTGACGCCGCGATTAGATTTTAACGACTACGCCACATTTTTTTTACAGTATCACCGTCAAAATATTGCCATGAAATGGTGCAGGAGAGCTCCCGAAAATCACACCTCCTGGATCCATACGAGTGCGACAGATGAGCAGCATACGAAAATGTCTCGATCAAGGAGCAACGAGCCCACACCCTGCCACCGCACACAGCATGATAGCGCGGCGATGCAAATTTGCGAAGGCGGACGAAGAGGTGGTGTTGCTGCACGGGGAGAAGGCAGCGATTCGACCATGCCCAGCAAACGAGACAGCAACATCCCGGCGCATCAATGTTTCCTACTCTCCGAAGATGAAGACAGCGACTGGGATCCGTATCCCCCTTCACCACCGCTCTCTCCCAAAACAGTTGTCATCGAGCCACGATCACGCTACAGCCAGCGCACAAGCACATTGCACCAATATGGGTCAGCGAAACGGCGGCCGGGCTGGAAACCGAGTCTCAAGGAAGAATTACTACGGAGGACATCGATGGATGCCGCCATGGGCCACACTGAACCACGAGCCAGCACACAGACGGGTCGTAGCAGAAGCAAGACGACAAGACTGGACTACACGGCCGAGGAAGGCATAGAGATTCCGCAACCACGACGAAGACGCGGATCAACACTGCTGCATCCTTCCTCCCCAATCATCGGGTCGGCGATATTACACACAGACGCTCCACCAACACAAACGGACACCCCATCGCTACCACCACAGCCCTACCCTTGTTTCGAGAACCGCCCAAAAACTCTTCTACGCAAGGGCTCCTCGCTACTCCACCCATCTCCACCCCTAAGCGACGCAGAATCGGAAGCCAGCATGCGAATCGCACAGCTTAAGACAGTCTTGTCGTTTCCGCCGAGAAAGCAGTGGTGATTATGAGATATGATGTAGTTGTTGTGGCTTTTTTTTGTTTTTTTGCTCTTTATTCACACCATCATCGCTTTTTTTATTGATGATGGGTATGCGAGCGAGCGAGCTATGATATATAGATGCAAGCTGTTATGATAACCCTTTTATGCTACTACTGGACACCTTTGTGTATACTGTATTGTGAATGTTGATTTTTTTTTCTTTGTAGATGACTATTTCGATGTTTGTGTATATAAAGTATCAACCTATTACATACCCACATTGCAACATCCTTCTTCGGTTCTTCGTAGGCTGTGATCAACGTTTTGCTAAGCCATTTTTATTATCATCTTTTGCAAAATAAAAAGCCCATGTTAATGAGTAATATCTACATAAATTCTTCCCACCTCGACCCGAACACCCCGTCTGAGTAGCGCCACTCACAATACTAGCTTCAACCATCCACTAAGACACCGCATCACCCAAATCAAAAAAAAACATCTACACTTTATCCCGCTGAAATATTTACTAGCCCATCCCCCTTTTCCCCCCTTCGGTACTTACCCTTCCTCCCCCCATTTCCCTCCTCCCACAGTCCGCGGAGTTACTCGCAGGCGTCAGGGATGTCACAAATGACCCATTGTACATTGTTGGAAATCCGTGCACTCCCCTCCCCCCATATCACGAGTTGGTCTGCTATGTTAGCTTGAGCGGAAGTTACGGTGTGTGTGTGTGTGTGTGTGATTAAATTATTCGAATTCGGTCGGTGAGATTTGCAAGTAGCTGTATTGTTGACTTACGGGGGGTTTTTTTTGCTTCAGTGCGTAGCGGGGTACTTAGTAGTATTGGAAGATTTTGGGCGAGCAAGAAAAGAAAATGGGTGGGAGGGCTGGCTTTCTTGTTTTGATGGTGACCCCGCGGAGGGGAGGGATTTAGTTGTTTTCCCATGCAAAAAAAAATCGACCTCTCATTTTTGGGATTTTTTTTTGAAGTGGTTAGGATTTGGGGGGGGGGGGTTGCCTGCGCCATGTAGTCAAGGTGTGTGGATGTCGGAGATGGTGAAAAAGATGGCGGGGATTGTCTCCGACGCGTGCAGGACACGACAAGTACACAACGATGCTTACAGAGTTTGAGGTTTTCGTCTTTTTCAATCATCCTTCGGCAATGCTGGTTACAGACGAGGTCGTTTCTGTGAGATATAACTCGCTGAGAATGTACTGCATGCAGACGAATTCTCAGCCCAGCTTTACACTTCTTTAAACACTACTCAGCGCTACTATCTCTTGAACTCTCTATGCACCATATATTGATCAAGTGCCAGTCAAAGTCATAAACTCCTTGCTGACAGGTTTCGATCATTTTCCGCGTTCCTTTCATTTACATACTCCTAAGTGTGCGGCAAGATAGTACACTGAAGGATGTTATTCAAGCATTCATTCAGCATTGTATTAGGTGAATCTCATAGTCTTACTATAGCATACGTAGTGTTTGTAAGACCCGCACTAAGCTATATTAACGTACCAGTGAGTGGCTAGGGCAGTTCCTTATATAGCTGGAGAGGCTCCACTTCTCCAAAAAAAACACCACCCCCCACACAACAGCAAGTACTCAAAAAGTGCAAAAAGATTCGATTGCATCGGCCGGGAATCGAACCCGGGGCTAGCCGACGTTGTCCAGCTGGAGCTTTTGAAGATCCAGAGTGGATGGCAACGGCTAATTTTACCACTAAACCACCGATGCTGAAAACATAGAAGCTATGTGACCTAACCAGGGGTCGAACCTGGAATCTCTTGATTTCGGATGTGAATCGTAGTCAAGCGCCTTGCCATTGGGCCATTAGGCCAAGTGATTGCTTAGTAATTTGATGGAAGACTTTGAATTTGCAGTGAATACAACTACAGAGTGCATGGGAAACACGGTTGGAAGCGAGAAGCCTTGAAAACATAATCTTTGGAAGAGGTAATTGTAGCGGGGTACCCGTTTGAAAAAAAATGTAATGTCCTACTGTGGGTAGGGAGGAGCCGAAACTTTCCGAAATCCGAAATTTCACTAGGCTAACGCGTAGTGGAGCATCCTTAAAATTTCTACTTTCTTTGTCTTTGTCCTTTCCACAAGAAACATAGTTTCCATAAGGACTCTCTTGTTGTGTGAACGTTATCTAGGATAAGTGATGGTTTTGTTTTCTCAAACACGCTGCACGAACGATTGATCTAGGTAACTATGTTTATCCGCAGCTGTGAGATATGTCTCGTATCAACCATATTGGAACAGTAGTCGCAATGATAGTCGTGCGATCGGCCTTAGTAAATCTTTGTAGGCTTATATTAAACAATGTGGTGCACACCGATTAATTCCATTGTTATCCAGTTGAAGGTCCGGTGTTCTAGGTGAAAGCCGCGGAGAGAAGAGTTGATATTTGAATGAAACGTCTCATCATACAATCCAGGGCTTGAATCTACCCAATTGGAGTAACGATAGCCGCGCCTTTGCCGTTACTATTGAATGAGACATAGGTTGAGAAAGCGGGGTTGGTACTGGCTCAGCAGAATGGTAATTTCCAATCATGTTAGGCCCATTGCAGGTAGGGTCAGGTACACTTGCCCGGCACTGTACGTAAGGATCAACCTTCTTTCCAAAGATGGTTCTGTTTCATGAATGTCTCCGAGGAATTCTCTTTACCAATTTAGTAGCAACAACACTTTGGTTCGAAATAAATTCAATGGTTTCAAGATTGTTAAATGACGAACGGCACTGTGCACTTCCCGAACTCTCTGTCCACCAAGGCACCCGTTCCAGGTGATGACGTATGTACTAAACAAGAGAGCATTTACATTCTAGATAGGATAATCGACAGCAGTGAGTGCTATTTCGGCTGCCACGACCATTCGTATTATCTTGGAGACTCTGGCCCTGATATGAATTTGCAATCGTCGGCACCCGATAAAACTAGGCCTCTTGGAATTCTGGGCCATGCATTTCATGCTTCATAACCACCATGGCTCTTAGCCCAGATCATTTCCGTGTGTTTGTCATACAGCAGGTGCATGAAGAACAAGCCTGGCAACTCAGACGAAGATGCCTGAAGCCTTGCATAAGTAGCGCGATTTGCAGTGCAGCGACCCGTACCATTCGTCGTCGCTACCATCTTTTGCATACGCGACACTAAAATCCAAGCGACTTACCGTGGCCCAGTCGGACCACCAAAGGAAGATCAGAACCCAAGAGGGATGGCCGCGAAGGATTAGGCGTGCATGTCGCCACTACAGGGCAGCTTGCTGCAATATCAAGGATGACGGTAGCCGGCGCCATGTTCTGCGGTAAGTATGTACGCATCTTCCGGCAAGTTTAAGGTACCGCGACTGAAAAGAAAACATGGCACTTACTCAAAAATATCCCGACTGACTCGACAGTTCCCGTCTTTGTGAGACATTCGAGAGCTGTTCCAGCACGCCACCCGGCTCGTGTTCTCAATACTTCAAAATTGTCCGCATGGCTTGTGTGACAATATCGTTTCTCCACAGTCCCACAAAGGTAGTCATTTCCACAGATAGCCATGTCAGCCGCCTTCTGTTACTCAAGGGGTCGAATGGAGGATTTTGTATTCGGGGTTCTGATATCCGGCTCTACCAAGAGAAATCCGCCGCGGCAGCTATGGGAATAACATAGGGTTTCGGGATCATCCTATGCTACCAAGTAATTAGTCCCATAGACTACATCGTTGTTGAAGTGAGGTGGTTCGAGAGCACGCGTTGTTGAGCCGACGTACGTACGTACGTAGCGTGCCAAGAGGAGTCTTTGAAGGCTTCCCCACCGCCATATTCTCAATCTGTCAAAGGAAAAGCGTAAGCCACGATGCCCATATATCGACTTCCCCGCGGCCGATGGCAAAACTAGTTCAGATGGATCGAGATACGTGACAGGTACTGACAAGTTTGCACATTGCTTTTTCCAGAAGCGTGTTTCATCACAGCGCGCTATTTTGCGAGCGTCAATTCCTACCTTGTCCGACTGCCGACACATACCAGACGACAACGGCCGAACTGCAACAAACGTATCATGGGTGCTTGAAAGGAACCGGAAACTTCCTCCGGGTCTCTTACGTTCTGCATATCATCATGATGTTGGGAATTCGGAAGGATACCTGTTCGTTAGCCTGCTGATCACAAGGAAAAGCAAAGCGTTGCTCGACCACCTTTCCAGGGGGGAAATGAGCCACCCTCCGCGTATGCTCGAGATACACAAACCTATCTGTTCTTTTTCAATTGTCCTTTTGGGCGCATCCTGTGATACTCCTGGATCAAGCCCCCAAGCCACCATCTGTATCGATGGAAAAGTGTGGGGTGGCAAATGCATAAGCACGCCTGTTAACGAGACGAAAGCTTCCGCCGTGTTTATGGCGCATTGATGTGGCTATCATCCTGATCAGAATCTATGGTATCGCGGGGACGGACTTGGAGAAGCGGACCTGCAGTAGTGTGTCGAAAAAAGCACATGGCTTGTCTTGGTTCGGAAAAAGCTACCTACATGGTGCCGGGATCAAGACGAGCCCTGTAGAAAAGCACGCAACTACTAAAAGTATGGGGATACTCCGTGGCCAATCTCATGCCAGCATTCAGCACCACCGGTGCCATGTTGATGTGGCTCTTTGGGACGCTAACGACCCCGTAGACCAGGGACAAGTCCTATACGCCCAAAGCTAGCATCCAGCTCCCCCACTCGCGTACCTTACATGCAGACGCCGAGCACTTGTATGGCCCGCACCGTGCATATACTGCCCCTGGTTCATTCTAGGGACGCCGATGAGGAGCTGTGAACCATGCGTAACTACTCAGTATTACTGGGGGGTTTAAACGCCATGTTGTATCCGTCTTATGAGATACCCTCCTCTAGATACCCTGATCCCTCCACTCCAACTCCACATCCACACACTCCTTTCTTCTCTTCAAAAATTCGTTTCGACATTCCTCCTCTTCTGAAGCCTCTTTGGTCAAGCTGCATAACCTCAAGCAAACGTCAGTACACCACTACATTCTCATCACACCATGGGTGGGGATGCAAGTGCAGTCTCTTCTTCAGTACTGCCTCATGCTTCACTCGCCCATGACCAGGGACCTCTCCACCTTGCTATCGTTGTCACACTAGTCTTGATAGCGCTCGTCATATACTCGTTAAGGGTGTTTACACGCGCAAGGCTACTTCATTCATTTGGCTTTGATGATGGACTTATGTTTCTGGCTGCGGTATGTTAAGACCAACGAAATAAACGCCACGCAACTGACATTCTCGGCAGCTGTGCGCAGTAGGCGTTTTTATTACGTTTACTGGATTAGTAGAGCTAGGTCTCGGACGAGAAGATCGAGACACTGCGTCTCCAGTCGAGAGCGAACGGTTGGGTCCATGGATCTGGGCACTAAACTCAGTCTATATCTTTGGGCTTGGGTTGGTAAAGCTGTCGGCTGCTTTCACGCTCTTGCCTGTATCCAACTCTAGATTCCACGCCTATATATACATTTGCCGCGGAGTGTTAATCATCGGAATCATGTGTAAGCTTACGCAGTAAGAAACGAGAGGGAGAGGCGCCAAGCTAACGTGAACAGTCTTGACATTTTGGCATACGCTCGAATGGTTCGTCTCAATTCTCATTCATTGCATGCCTCTTGTCGCAGCTTGGGACTTCTCATATAGCGGGAACGCAAAATGCATGTCGCCAATCGAATCTCAGCATTGGGCTATGGCAAACTATAGTGAGTGAGGTGCTCTTTTACCCTTGCGAAGCTATACTGACACTTCAAATCAGTAACCAATGCAACTACCAGTCTCTTGTTGGTTGTACTTGCGGTCCCTACCATTATCGGCTCATCTTTTAAAACCGGCATCAAAGTATACCTCGCACTAGTAACGGTGTTAGCGCTTTTGTACGTCCACGTTTTTTCGCTGTATGTTCAGTCTGGCTAATATCTCTACGGCGCATCCGCTATTGCTATAATACGAAGTCGAATGGTCATCCTTTACTGGGCCGAAGTAGGGGATCGAGGCAGATACGATTTGTCCTTCATGACCTGGGGCACTGTCGAACTCACGACAGCTATGATAGCCGTGAATCTTGGTACTTTGATACCTCTTGGTGGAGCCATCAAAACACCAACAACCGAGCCTCCGACTCGGCGCCCTCTACCCAAAATCTCCGGTCCAGTAGCGGGAAGTGCTGTCCACGTATCCCATGGCGATGTCGACTCCATCTTCAATGCCGAGCCCAGCACTTTCTCCGAATCAAAACAGCGCAACAGTCGATACTCTGGGCAAACAATTATGTATCGCCCCAACACTGCATACTTTCCCGCAAGTTACACTCACCCCGGTCTCACGCGCTTCCACGACGACGAATCGAATCTAGATTTCGACATCGAAACCCCCTCCACCCGGTCGACGCGCAAACTGAGGAAACCATTTCCGCCTTCGCGCTTTTCTGGATCGACAACGTATACGGTTGACACGCGCCGAATAAGTGATTGGTCGCAACTAAGTGGATTCACATACTACTCGCATGCATCGTCGCTGGAGCTCAGTAACCCACAAGAGAGTACGAATAGGATGTCAGTTGGTCCAAAGGAGTTGGACGAATTCAATATGCATTTTGGGAGAGATTCAGGGAGTGGAAGCAGTGATGGTGATCAGAACCAAGAGATTCGTGTTGTTTCTGATGAAGAGAGAAGGAGCGGAGGGTTTCCAACTATCTTCCTGGAAGACGACGTGAGGCACGTATACAGCCACAGGTGTTAATAAGTCGAGAAAAAGAAAAAGAAGAAGGATCTGAGATATGTGCTGAATTTTCTTTAACGGCACAACCGAATCCGCAAAACACTCCATGCGATTAGCGACAGCGACCCATCACCCAAGCCTGGGTGGCCTACATGCGACAACTGTATTCCTTTGTTTTCCTTTGTCATCATCAAAATCGACACCTTCGGAACATTTTTCCTTACTTTGTGCAAAAGCGCCAACATATTAGAGCTCTACTCATTCACGCGAATATCTCCTATTACCATTCTTACCCGGCTCCCTTAGTGTAGCATTAGCCCCGAATATTTAGTATCAGAACGAATAAGAATAAGAATTTCGTTTTCTCCATTCTCTAAAATACAATCTCGCAATCATATGTACCCCGTGATCGAGAATTCAGTGAAGAAGTTGAAGCGATCAAGTCCACCGTTACTTGATGTACTACACCTGATAGCCACCGGGTAGCTCGGTAACCCATCCATCAATGTCCTCGTTGACTACGCGCGGTACGGTGCATTTGTTCATGGCAGCTGCGTCTTGTGTCTTCAGTGTGGGACAGTTGACATAGCAAGGCGAGTCAAGGGCTCGCTGTAGCGCGTCGCCTTTCCAGCCGAATATATAGTCACCGTGGTTCGCAAAGCCCGTCCTATCTCGCCACATGTATGATTAGCAAGCTGCGTTACAAACCAGTGTAAATGCTTGACTCGAGACAGGCAAGAGAAACGTACCTATCGCCGAAACTCCAGACAAACGACTGACTACCATCCTCGGGCCATTCGGCCAGATCGTTGAACGCACTCGTATCCCAGACGACTTCGTAGAAGAGCTGGCTCATCCGGACTGGATGACTAGCGGGACAGGGCCCGCCGGACTCAAAGGTTCCGTGTTCGGGATATGCCATATGTGCCATGTGGTCAGGAGAATCAAGGTTCTTGCCGTCCCAGCAGCTAATCTCGTCATTAGCAAAGACTTTGGCTTGAGAAGCATTAGAGTGGAGCAAGGGCCTCCTTACGTAGGGAAGCGAACAGCAGTCATGATGCCGGTTTTACACGGTTTATCTGGGAAATCGAGGGTTTGCGGATCGCGGTTATCGATGTGATCAAGACAGGTAAATGTCAGTTGTCTGAAGCGTTCGGCTTCTTGCTTCGAGCGTGCGTTTACATCTCCGATGAACATGCGGAAGCCCTGATGTTATCAGCCGATCGGGATGCACTTGGAAGGGGCGTGGGCCTATGGAGTTTGAAATACCGGCTGAAAGGCTTGGACCTTTGATGTTTGCTGGAAGTTATAGAGTCCATCTTGCATGTAGTATACTGTCATTCCTCCGTTGACGCCATTGAAGCCTGAGTTTGGCATTTGGGGCACGCGCTTGTATGTGCCGTTCCTGGCTTTGAAGTAGCTATGGTGTTTGCTATTAGGGGCTTTCTAGAAGTAGTACTGGAGACCTTACAGAACCGCTGTCCAGTAGTTCTGAATGGAGTTTAGTGGAAGTTTTGGGTAAGCACTTTGCAAGTTTTACTCACGGAGAAGTCCTCGCTGAATTGGCAGGACGTGCAAGTTGACTCGCCTGGCATGTCTTTCTCCGGATCCATGGTTATGTTGAAGGAATTCTGTACATGATTAGCTTTCCTGAATCACAGGTGGTGGATTTATGTACCCCTCCGAGAATCTGGTGAAGATGCGGAGAGGGAGCTTGGCCGGGCGTGACCAACGGGTCTAATCTATCAATGACTAGTTGGGCGCAAGGAAACCGTAGCAGCGCTATTGTAGGAGCAGCAAGTACAAGAGCTGTAGCGCCAAAAAGTCTCATGTTGGCCGAAGATTAAACGGTTTCTATTGGAATGTTAGAAATACACGAAGAGCAGCTCCTTGTCGCTGAAAGAAACCTTGTACTTTCCTACAAAGATTCACAAGGCTACAAGAATCAGATACAGTAACTTGAAGTGTATAGACTGCGGTTCAAAGATGCTCTGGAACTCTTATGAGCAGTACTGCGCAATATCTAGTCACAAGATGAAAATAGCCCTTGATTTCCCACGCGGAAGAGGTAATCATCATTCTAGGATGTATTGCTCCGAAGGCCCCGGTTAGCCATGTTACTCTCCACCATCTTTTCGAGCTAAGTACAATTTATGTGGCATACCAATCTACTCTGCTGGGCGTTGAGGTCTCCTGATCAGCCTCTGATAGGTAGTCAGGTCTTGAATTTCCTAACACTCCCGTTTGGTGCAATGTACTTGCGGCTGACAATCGGGAACCAGTACTGATCCATGCTGAAAAAATCCACTTTTATTGAGTGTTTCATCATATCTAGCCGTTCCTAACGATTAGCATTCATCTCGTGGTATATGTGTTGACTTTGCTTCGGCAGTTGTACTGAACATTGGAAGGGCGGAGGACGCCCCACATATATGGTATTCAATCAAAGGAGGACAAAGCCATCACTGGCTATGCCTTTACTGTATCATATTAATATTGGTGGGTGTCCAGACAAGGTTGCACAAGCCTCAATCTATCCTATTTTACCGACGCGCTAAGTTGTGGGGTCTTCTCTTGGGTGCTGTCTATCACCATTTTTGGCAGTTGCGTGTAGTTACTGTCGTATCCCAATAAGATCAGGGAGCAAACAATTTCATGATTGGAGGAATTGATGGTCCTAATTCGGGTCTGTCGGAAGTTCCAAGGGCTCGTAAACGCACACTGATACCGCCGTGGGGCTATGGCCGGTTCAATATCGAAATGGGGATAGAGGTACGGGAGGCCATGAGTAAAATATCCAGATGCATTTCCACGCCGTCTGGTGGCATTTTAACCAATGTTTGTAGACTGCAGTTCCCGGAATAAAAGATATCCTTCTAGAAGGACAGGCTTTTGCGGTACCCACAGCTTCTATCACCCATTTCGTTGTCACTTCATTGAAAGCATTTTGTTCCATCACTTATCCCTATACAACCGCCATGAAAATCACCACCATTCTCAGCGCTACGTGCTGGCTGTCATTCGTATCCGCTGCATTTGATTACAATAGAGGAGGTGCGGTACTCAAGGCTCCTGACGGCGATTCGTTCCAAACGGTTATCGGTACCTTCATCGTCCCAAACCTATCTGGCTCGAACCGATTATCGATATGGATTGGCATCGGTGATGGGCTGGAGCAGAACAATATTCTCAGTGGTGGAATTGTCTACAACAACACTCTGAAGACTTTTGCTTCGTACTTTCCGGACCCAGCAACAGATACAACTTCGGCTGTTCCAGTTGCAAACGGGGATTCCATTACTATCATGGTCAATATTACACTGACAGGTGGTGCGGTGACGATTGAGAACAAGACACAAAACAAGACGACGACGCAGAATGTCGCAGCACCGGCAGGCGTTGAAATACCCTCCTTCACTGCCCTAGCAGCTGATTGGTTCGTTCAAGGGTACCAAGTGATTCCTGGTGAACTTGTAGCAACGCCAGACTTCGGCACGGTATCTTTCACAGCCGTGAAGGCAACGACGAAGGGTGGAACAGATGTGCCAGTCTCAAGAGCTGGCCGATATGAGATCCAGGGGACTAGTGGACAGGTCAGCATCTATGTGAAGTCTTCTACACTAGCTAATTCTTGACTAGATGTATTCTCGAACGACGATCTCCGACGCAGGTATTTCGGTGCAGAGACAAAACGTTGGGAAGTAGACAAGCGTATATGTTTGCTATCAGTTACTATAAGGAGGCTTTTGGATCATGTCTTGAACGTTTTCCCTCAGCCAAATGGACATGTGGGCGTGAATGCGCCAGGGTCATGTCTTATCCTGGATAGATGTCTGGATCTATGCTAGATCGTATGCTCGTCATGGAAAATTAGTTTTGTAGCTCATCTTGAGATTATAACAGAAGATCTAAGAGAATCAAGGGTCGTTATCAGTACTAAATGTAAGAGTTGTGGGGAGAGGAGAAGATGTGATCTAAGGCTTGCTGCGGGATACCGTGCCCCACCACCTCGCGCACACCACCACCTCGCGCACGCGCGGCCTCACCAAAACAACCTCATAAATGAGGCTCTAGAGCCAC